GCTTGAAACGTCTTTAATGGCTCACTCAATCTGAACACTATCTGTTGGTATAACTCTGGCGCATGAAAAAGGCTGAATCGGCTTTTCAACTAATTGGCTCGGCAACAGATCTAAGCTACGCCAAACATAAATGGTAAAAATATTTGGTTAGGTCAAGACTATTTGTGAGGATTATTGCCGACGCCGTGGTTTCAAGAAAAGTTGAGCTAAATGAACAAACTGTGATTCAAGTATAAAAGAGGCAACTATTCTTACTTTGACATTTCGGTGGAATTTCTTGTCGTTGAATGAGTCTCTGTCAATTGATCTACTGCGAAACTGTTCATTTTCGTGTCGGCCTTTTGTCCACACCGAGTCTGAAGAATTATTTATCTGTTTCCAGAGTAGATTCCGCGAATTTCCGAAGAGCACTTCAAACAAACCGGTCAACCGCAACGACGGGAGGCTGGGCAAGAGGGATGATACCTTGCCGCTCAGGGATCGAGGCTCCGAGGGTGGATCTGAACAGCCCATGTCGTCTAAATAATCCTCATCTGTCTCCTCGTCTGAATCGCTCAAGTTATCGCTTTCTTCCCCACTCTCGTGAGCTCGCCAGTCGAACGGATCCATTTCATTGACCCAGTTGTCGCTGTGCTCAACTCGAGAATGCTCAGCTTCCTGAACATGCAGATCACATCGGTCATCCCGACAGTTCGTTGGCGGCGGAAGTCCGTCGGAGTGACGAATGGGTCCAAAACCCATGCCCGCGATGGTCGAGGAGCCGACTAGACCGGACAGAGCGGTGATAATTAGAGATCTTGACAGTCGCGAAAGATTCTGCAGGGCAGAACGACCCATAGACGCATCGAATTTGCGGGTAGGCTCGTTAAGGCTGCGTCGCAACCTGAAGATGGCGTCATGGATACGAGTTTCTTGCAGCTCGGCACTAGGAATTAGTCGACCGGTCTCAAACCCACCGTCCGGAAATGGTTTTGCCTGTAATTTATGCAAAAATGTCAATTCTCTCTACTTAAGCTCCCGTATTGCATATATCTTTAATCGTAAAAGAAAAGGATTTCAATTAGCGTAGCCAAATATAACATATTAAACAATAGTTACGATATTCAGCTCCATATTACAGAAAGACGTAATATGTTTTATGGGTGATAAGAATATAATATTAAGAGATGAGAAATTAAAAAAAGCGTAAATGACACAAATAAAAAAAAACAACAAATGTATACTCGTAAACAATTTACATAATTTTAATTTACAATTTTGGCTTTTAGAATGAGTTTATTGAGTAGTATATTGCTTATGCCTAATATTGTGT